TACACCATCACTACCACCACACACTGCCCCCCTGCAAAAAAAGGGAAAAAAGATTCTTGAGGAAAAAAAAAGGGGGTCTTCATTAAAGTGGTGAAAACTGTCAATGAGGTTGGGTAGACACTCCTTCTGCCCGACTATCATTTCCATTTTCTCTCGGACTTGCTGAGAAGCTCTACTCCTGCTTTCTTGAATCCTGACCCATGGAGCAACTGGAAATTCAGTCTTCCTCAAATCTGCCATCTTGAATCCTCCAGAGCCTGTCCCAATTTATTTTTGGTCAAAGGGAACTGAGGTTTTCAGAGAATGCCATGCAATCAAAAGGCAAAAGCTAAAAGGAAAGGAAAGCCAGTCTCTTCACGTCACTAAAGGAATGACACCAAACAGGGATCCAAAGAAGTCCCTCCTAGGGAGCAGGGGAATCTCAGCTTGGGCTGAGTGGGTTACTGATCTCCACCATTGTCAAAAACAAGGCACAAGCAAATATTTATTAAAAGACAGCGAAACAAAGGTATACATGCCCCCGAGATAGGATGCAGATACCCCTTGCTTCTCAGAAAAGAGAAGACAGTATTGCACCCTGGGCTGAGCTCTCTTGCTATATATAGGACTTTCCCTATATAAAGGAAGAAAAGTGTAGGTTCACAGGCAAACTTTTGTTGTGAAAGTCAAATCCCATGTTCATCATTTGATATTTGCGGTTCAGAATGTTTCTTCCTGGTTAAGTAGCGTAGCCATAAATCAGTGTAGGTCTTTGAAGCTGGTCACATTTAAATCCATGATGTTTTCTTTCTGATTGATCGGGTACAAGCATATGCTGGAGGCTTTCTTCATCTAAAGAGACAAGCATGGCTGATCATGCTCATAGATTGGGTCTTCTTCTACTAAGGACCTCTTTCTCTCTCTCCCTGGGAGTCTACCTACCTCAGTAATTATAAATGCTCAATAATAGTAGTAAAATTAGCCAACCATAGTGGCATGCATTTGTAATCCCAGCAACTTGGGCTGAGGCAAGAGGAATGCAAATTTGAGGCCAGCTTCAGCAACCTACAAGACCCTGTCTCAAAATAAAGACTAAAAGAAGGGCTGGGGAGACACAGAGCTGGGAAAAAGAAGGCAGAAAAGAGGTGTGAGCAGAGCCAGAGCTAGAGCCAGAGCCAGGCGAAAAGGCTGAGCACAGAGCCACGGGGCGGGTGATGCAGCGTGGGCCCAGCAAGCCCTCTCATGACCCATGCCAGTGGGGACAGGCAGTGAGTAACTCCTCCCCTGCAGCCCTGACAAACTCTAATCTGGCCTGCGAGTCAGGGGCCTGAGAGCAGATCCCAAATCAGGCTTTGCTCAGCCTCTGACAAGGGCTAGACCTTTGGAAGGCACCTTCAACAGCAGGACCAGGTGGGCCATAATGTCTAAAAACTCCACAACCATTCCTGCAGCCAAACCCAAGTGGGCCAAGGCCTCCGAGAAATGCACAGACTACCCCAAGTGTTCAGATATAACTGTGGCTGCTGTTCAGGCCAAGAAGAACCACTCTGGCTCCCAGCACCAATCTGCCCATACAGAGGTATATCAAGAGCCATGACAAGGTGGGTGAGAATGCCAACTCCCAGATCAAGTTGTGCATCCAGCACCTGGTGCCTCCAGTGTCCTTAAGCAAACCAAAGGGATGGGTGCCTCAGGGTCCTTCCATCTGGCCAAGAGCGAAGACCCCGGGATGTCAGTAGCCTTCAGGAAGACCAAGAAGGTGGCCACACCAAAGAAGGCATTCAGACCCCAAGGAAGAAGCCCAAAGCCACCTCAGTCACGAAGGTCAAGAGGAAGCCAGCTGCCACACCAAGAAACCCAAAACCCAAGATTGTCAAAGCCATGCCAGTCAGGGTATCCTAGAAGGACTTTTTGTTGCTGTTCCCTCTGTACCAGAAGGCCAAACCAATGAAGCCCAAAGCCAAGTCTGGTGCCACAAGGGCCAGCCAAGATAAGAGTGCCAAGAGGAGACACTGTGGCCTTTTCTTGTGGACACCCCTTCCTCCTCATTTTCTATAAACACTTTGCTCCTTTCTTTTCTCTCCATCCTTCGGAGACCCTTGGCCCCATTCTATCCTGACGTTTCATGAGACAGTATTTGGATTCCTCAGAGACTGTGGAATGATTCCTTTTTCCTTAACCAGCTGAGCAAGGACAGCCACAACAGATCTCATCTGTGTGATAATGAGGATGTGATGATATTTCGTTTTGTTGATTTACTGGTAATCTTCCCATGGGGCTAGGGATTTGGGGGCTTTGTGTGTGTTGTTGGGTGATTTGTTTGCTATGAACATAGACATGGGGGAGGAGAGAACAGGCGAGGCAGTCTGTTCTGCCTAGAGGAGAGGCAGCCCAGGAACTGTAAGGGTTGTAGGAGTGTCCTTAAGTCAGGGGCCCCTTTTGAGAGTTTCAGAACCTTTGCTGGTGGGGAAGGGGAGGCAGCTGCTAGCAGCAAAAGAAGGAGGTAGGAAAACCCTTCTGGGCTGACCTCCCAACGGGAGGAGTGGTGGTGGCCAGCGGGTGAAGGCCCAGTTTCCTCCTCACTTCCGTCAGTCTGCCCTGTGGCCTCTGTATTGTCTTATGGAAGGCCAGGAGGGCATCCACATGACAGCTGGATGGGAGAAATTAAAGCTTCTCCTAGTTAGCTAGGAACTAGCTGTTGGGGTGTCTTTGTGACAGAGTCTTCTGTTACATGCAGGAAGGATGAGGAATTGGTCAGCCAGGTGCTCTGTGGAAACTTGAGTTTTTCTACATAATCAATTAATTGTATCCTATAAGGACTTTTTATTGCTGTTCCTTCTGTCCAAGACGTGGCTTTGCTTGGTCTGTGGGGCTCTATCCCCACCACGAGCCACATAAACCCCCCTGACCTCTCTTTACTTCTTTTTATGAGTAGTGGTAGATGGGGAGGGGGAAGGGCAGGGAGAAGACAGTAAGACGTACTGCAGCAAATTTTGAATTTGCTAAGTAGTTGGGAGCAATAGGTCTGTGTGCTTCTCTGTATACAGACATATGCCTGTCTAGGGCCAGTGCTTAATGTTTCACACTGAGAGCTGGGAGAAAAACACAGTACAGATTTTCTCTTATTTTTAATGAAATAGGAACATCACACATTTGCACATCCCTCTGCTTTTTTAAAAACAAGCATTATTTGTGCCAGGAAAAAATTCACTGTTGTTATAATTTTAAAACTTTAAAAAAATGGAGAAGGGGGGGCAGGGGAGGCTGGGGATGCAGCTCCATGGAAAATGCCCTAAGTTTAATCACTACCTCAAAAAAATTGGAAGTCTTTCATGGTTATATAATGAAAGACAGAGTGAGTGGTGCCATAAATAATGGGACCAAGCTCCTGCTACTAAACATTTTATTTATTCCTAATTCTCCCCTATCTCAGATATATCTAAAATTAATATATTAGTGTACATTTTTTTTCTTCCTTCTTTTAGATGATTTCTTAGGAGATGGGAAGCCAGTCTTAAACATAGCTGCTTGGAGGGGGTGAGACACACTCCCCGCCCCACTAGGGACGCTTCCTTATGCTTTCCCCCAGGGAAGCTCTCTTTTCCCTTATGCCACCAAGTCTCCTCTCTCCTCTCCCCCTCTGACTCTGAGGCGGGTGTAAGAAGGGTCAGCGTCCTCTCAGCAGGCCGCCCCTGAGAATGCATCTCCCCCCTTGCAGGCCACCTAGCACTACTAAGAGTTAAGTGACAYGTGAAACAAATGTGCTGTGCCTCCTGGGCCCGTTTCCATTTGGACAGTGGCAGAGACCTTAAGCTGATGGAAACCAGGCTAATGGTGGCACAGGAAACAACAGAGAGCAAGCTGGGATGGCACGCATTCTTTCATGGAGGCATGGGGTGGGTGAGGGGAAGGACCGGGTGACTGTCAGCTCCTGAATGCTTCTTCCAGTATCCTCTTAGGGCCCTGTCATCTCTGGCTTGAATGAGCCCTAGAGCTGTGCTCACAATCCTTTTCTCACGATGGCACACACAGAAAACCGTAACATTTGTGTCACAACCCAGGAAACAGGAAGCAGGTTGAACACAAGTTTTTGAGTTTTTCTACATAATCCATTAATTGTATCCTGGGAGGAYTTATCCACCTGGGAGCTCCAGTTGCCCTGAGGCCTGAATGAACAATATCTCAGCGCCCTGGGCTCTTTCAGCTCCAAAGTATGTCTGTGCTGGTCAACTTCCCGTCCCTTCAGCCCTCTGACACCACTTCCCAAAGAGCTGTTTTCACCACGTGGCGCTCCTCCCAGATACCCTTGACCTTCCCACGTTTCCCAGCTGAACATTCAAGACCTTCAGATTCTGGCATCTGCATTTCTAGTCCCCTCTCCTCTGCTCCAGCCAGCCACTCACAGGTGTCCCCCAGTTTCACGTTCGCTCCAGCCCCTTGTCCTTGCTCATGCTGTTCCCCCTTTGGAATATGCCTTCCTTTGACCTTCCTTCTGAACCTTGTCCCTCTCCCAAGACCTGACCCAGTCTGTGCCCCTTCCTGGAAGCCGCTCTCTCAGCCACAGTCCTTCCCTGGACATCAGTAGTACTTTCCGTGTGAGCCATCACTCAACCCAAGTCACCTTTTCATGTGTGTGTGACTTGTGTCCCCAGGCAGACTGAGGGGAGACATGAGAATGCACTGGAGCTCTGGAGCCCAAAGACTGTTCTGGGATTTATTTCCCCTTCTGTCAAAGTAAGGTCTAGTTCCTGGAGTGGTTGTGAGGCTCACATGAGGCCAAGGGTGTACATTAACTTGTGTTCACCATGCACATAGAGGCCCAGCTCAAGCCACGGGCCATTTTTTCTCTCTACAGCATCAGTCACGAGGCAAGTCCTGGGAAAACATGGTTGGCTGAAGGTGTGAGTTCCTATACCTCTTGGTGTCTCGCCAAGCCCCAGGGTGCAGTAGTGGCCAGCATCCTGCCCTGTCCCTAACACAGGTGCTAGCCATTTGGTACCACTCTCTTCTGTCACCTGCAGACCACTTCCTGGAGCTGCACATGTACATGACTTCTGCACTAGGCAAGAATGACATGAAGGCCATTGGCCTGCAGATGGCCCTCGACCTCCTGGCCAAGAAGGAGAAGAAGGACTCTATTACGGGTCTCCAGACACGTACCCAGCCTGGGCGGCCCGACTGGAGCAAGGTAAAGGCTAGCTGGAACCCCACAGTGGGCAGGGGCCAGTGAGGCTGAGAGTGTGAGGCAGCAGCAGGGAGATCAGGGTCAAGCAGCCAGGGGCGAAGTATGAAGTTCGCATCCAAGTTCAGAGGAGGGGTCCAGGCAGGAGTGGTAGGCAGGGAACCCACGTTCTGCTCCGTCACTCGCCCACTTTGTGCCTCCCTGTTTCCCCATCTGGTTAAGAGGAAGTTGGTCTACCTGCCCTCAACGGCCTCTCCAGCCTTGAGTCCCTATGAACCAAAGCCAGAAAGCCCAGGTGGTCAGGGTCCTGGGGAAACATTAAGTCTTATTCATCTCCTGTTGCAAATGGGGAAACTGAGGCCCATGGGCAAGAAGTGGTTTGTGATCTTTCCATTTTACTTCTCAGATTGGTTTTATTATTATTACTATTAAATGTTATATATTATTATTAATTATTATTAATTATATTATTATTGTTAATTATATTATTATTAATTATTCTTATTTTCTTCCCTGAAAAATTGGGGCACAGTCTTTGCAGGCAGTGGCCCACAGCACAGCTTTGAAAACTGCTGTAGATGCTCTGAGGCAGGGTCATGAGGGCTAAGGGACAGTACGTGGGAGTGGTACACAGATGTCAAAGGGGCCCTTCTTCAAAAGGCAATTCATAAACACAATTTGGGGTGAAAAAGGGTCCTTACCAGGGGGAAAATAAAAGATGGTGGAATGAGAGGGACATCATCGCCCTAGGTACATGTATGACTGCTCATAAGATGTGACACTACATCGTGTACAACCGGAGAAATGAAGAGTTCTGCTGCAATTGTGTACAATCAACTAAAATGCATTCTGCTGTCATATATACCTATATGACATATATATACCTATATAAATAAATAAATTAACTCATTAATAATAAGAAAAAAGAAAGCGGCATCTAGATCATAGCACATGGCCCAGGGGCTCCCGAGCAGCTGCACACAGTCTCTCGTTGCCAAAGCTGCATCAATTTGAGTGTATTTTTTCCACATAAGGGGGTTCTCAAGTGGAGGGCCTTGGTTTTACTTATTTCTAGCCCTAACTCACTTCTGGGCCATGTTACAAGTTGAGCAAGTGATTGAGTGGCCGGGTGGTGGACTCCACTGTGAGCCCAGCAGCTGTGCCACCGATGTTCCTCAAGCTCCTGGGTCAAATGGGGCCGCTCCTTGCTGCCTCCAGGTGGGGGCAGCACTGGTCTCTGATCCCAGCCCCACCTCTCTTTCTGCTCTCTCCAACCCTCTGACTCCAGGTGTTCCAGAAAGTGGCTGCTGCAAAGAAGGGCAAGGTGCAGGTCTTCTTCTGTGGCTCCCCAGCTCTGGCCAAGGTGCTGAAGGGCCACTGTGAGCAGTTTGGCTTCAGGTTCTTCCAAGAGAACTTCTAGCTGCCCCTCTCTGTGAGGCTGTGCCCCAAATCCACTCCATCACTGGCTTTGTCATAGGGGTATAAGTGCCCCTGTGTGGACCAGCCTCAGACCACCCACCCAGCAGGATAAAAGCCCCGGGACCACTGAATCCTGATTAACACAAAGCAGGGGGGCCCCAAGGGGCAGACCCCAGAACCCATCTGCTGTGCATTCTGGGATTGCATGAGGCTGAGGAGATGAGGCTGGAGGCTGGGGTCATGGGGAGGCAGGAGGGGACCTCAGGACAGCTGCTCCTCCAAAAGTCCTCTGAGGGAGACTTCTGCCTCCCATAGTGATCCCCAGCCTTCCTACTCAGCCACAACATCTCGTTATGCAATTTTCAAACATACAGAAAGTTGAAAGGATTGTGCAGTGCACTGTGCGACCCACCTTCTGACTCCTTGGTTACCATTTTGCTGTGTTTGCTTTATCATGTATGACCTGTCAGTCCCTCCCTCTACCCATCCACCAATGTGTCTCCTTCTTCCGATGTATTTCACAGTAAGGTACAGATATTGACATACTTTGCCACTCAGAGAAACTTAAAATGCAGATTCCTTGGTCCCACACCCAGAAGTTCTAATCTCAAAGGTCTGGGAATGAAACCTGGAACATGTATCTTCCTAGAATCCAGTCCCACGGGGAGAGTGGGAGGGCATATTTCCCCACCTCTCTGAATCTTTGCCTTCCCCCCTCGTTCCCTCCCCCTTCCTCTCTCTCTGGCATGTGCCTCAGTGTCCCTCCTTGCCGCACACTCTGGCCCCTCTCTTCTCTCTGACCACTGACCATTAGAGAGGGAAGATGGAGACACCCTCCCGTGTGCCTCTGTGGGATCATGAAGCAGATGGGGACACAGAGCGCTCAGCTCAGCCACCCCAGCTGTGCGGCCATGGCAACCTCTCCATGTCTATGTCTTCCTCCATGAAATGAGCTGATGACATGTGCAGGTCACAGCTGTGACGGTGAAGGTGGACTGGGAGTGGGCCTGGCTGGAGACTTTTGCTGGGGCCTTTCCACCAGGTCATGCTGCGTTACCTGCAAGCCTGGGCGGGCACCTGACTGACAGACCAATCTCAGACCTCGGCTTTGCCATCCTGAAGCCACACATGGTTTGAACCCATTTCCTTCTGTGAAGTGTGCTCTCGCCCTCTGCACCAGGCCTGGGAAGGAGGAAAGGAAACCCTGTCACTATTTGGGACTCAGAAGTATTTGAAAGAGAGTGGCCCAACTTGAGACTGGAGCGTTTAGAGGATGTACCAAAGTCATTTGAAGTCTTGGCAGCATCACTTTAACACAGAATTACACACACACACACACACACACACATACACACACACACACACACACATACACACACACACACACACACCACTGTTTTATATTTTGTCCTGTCTCAGAACACACTTGAGCTGCAGAACTCAGTCATTTTCTCTCTTGGAGCAGATTTCCACTTGGCACAAACACACGTATGCACACAGCCAGCTGTTTGAGTCCTTTTTTTTTTTTTTTTGGTAGTGGTGGGAGCAGGTGGAAGAACCTTAMACAAGATTGTAAATTCCCTTGGCCTAGTGATGATGTGCCTGTGTTCTGTATTCTTTCCAGCCAGACTCCAGTTGCCCACGAGGGGGCGCTGCRGAATCAGAGATCTCAGGAGGGTCTGTTGTGTGGGAAAGGGAGACTGGTTCCTGGGAGGAAATCAAAGGAAAGAGCAGGAAGGACCCCACCCCACTGCAAAGCTCCCCTCTCAGGACAACACCTCTAGGCTCAGTCTCAGGCAGCACCGTGAAGTCAGTAGAGAGAGTTCATTTTCAAGATCAGTTTCTGCCGCTGCTGGCACCTCACTCTGTCCCTGCCTCGCCCACCACCCCCACCACCCGCCTCCACCTGCTCCTGCTGTTCAGTTCTGTGCTTTCCTCTTTTCTCCTCCCAACAGAGTGTCCACCTGCAAGGTTGAGTGGAGTTGAACAGGTCTGGCTTGGGGACAACTCATACATAGGTCCAGGCTCTGCCCTCAGTGAACATAGGAACTTAGGTGGGAAGTTCAAATATACCCGTGGCCAGCAGGCTGAGCGTGTCCACCTGGATGTTTCCCAGGTGACCAGAAGGGTGCCATCCCGGTGTCAACAAGAAACAAATGCATCCTTATAGCCAACTGACTTTTCTTCTTTCAGCCAGATGTCGGCAATGCTGAGACACATCTGGGCCCAAGATAGATAAGGCTGACACAAGAGAGRAGGGAGGGAGCACCAGCTAACTGCAGGTAAAGGGAGGCATATGGAAGGGCACAACTGACCTCCTCCATCAGGCTGGGAGCTCCCGGAGGTCAGGCCTGTGGCCCCCAAATCAAGCACAAGGGAGAATGAATGGGCCTGAAGTGRGTGTCAGTTCCCATCAGGGCAAGGGAGGGCTGAGATGGAATTGTCTTCTGCATCTAATTGTCATTTGTAATTTGGGGAACAAAAGTGCACACACAAGCTGCCTGAATGTCTTTGCCAGCTGTTCTGCTGTGACCACACTCTGACAGCCAGGAAGGTTTTAGAGAAACAAATGATTAGCTGGACCTGCCCCGCCCGCCCAGCACAAGTGCAGTCTATTAATACACTGAGAGCCTGGGGCATTTGTGGGAGGGGAGGGGGACATGGGCCATATTGCAAAGTGTCACCAGSTTTGTAGACAAGGTCCAGAGTAGGGAGAGATTAGAGGCACCAGCTGAGGCTGGCTCTGGGCAAAACCTTACATGTGCGCAGTGGAAAAGCCACTGCTTTCGGGAAGTCGGAGCACGGCTTCTACTTTTGCTAGTGCCGCAGGCTGCTGCGCGACCTTGGATACATCATTTGGCCTCTCTGAGCTCTCGCTTTTTTGTCTATGAAGTGAACACATTAAGGACACATGTGTTTAAATGCTTGTACATGCATAGGCATCCCTAAAAGGACACAAAAATACTTCTCTTTGCTCTGTGGGGTGGGAGTGGAGAAGGAAAGGAAGGAAAGGACTTTTACTTTTGATTTTTGTTTTGTTTTACTTTTTACCCTTCTATGAAGTTTGAGGTTTTTATGATAAGGGTATGTTGTTTTAATTTTGAAAAGAAACCTCAAATAGAATGTCATGTAAAAGCAAAAAAAAAAAAAAGTATCAAGAATTTGATCTGATCCTATGCATACAATGAAAAATAAATAATGTATATGTATCATGTGGGAATAAAAGAAGTGCACGGAAAAGAGGGTTAGAAGGATGGAGCAGTCACTGTGGGAACTTTGGGGGAGTTTGCGAAGTCCCCTTACCTTGCTCATGTACTGGTGTATTACCTGTATAATGTTCCCAATGTATAAATTTTATACCAGACACTTCATGTACCACTCATGTGTTGTTATACTTTTTTTAAATTATGTACTTATGAATGGGTTATGTCATTTTTTAGAAGAATAAAACAAAAGGCAGAGCTTGCCTGCAATGTCATCTATGACCCTTAGCATTAAATCTCAAGTGGAAGCATTTTAGGTATTTGCCAAGGGGAGGCCCCTCTGGTGGAGGGTCAGTCCCCCGGACACAGTGCCCCTATTCAATATGCAAAGCTGCCTGCTTTAAGTGGTCTAAGTATTAAAACAAAAGACCCCATGAAGGCCTGAGGCTGCTTCAGAAGGACAGAAGAGGCCAGGGGCATTGAGGGGTAACTGTGCCAACCAGCCTCCCCACGGTCCAGACTCCTGGCGCTCTGCCTGCACTAAACAAGTACCAACGCCGAACAGCCTCCCTGACCCATGGATTCTGCTTTTTATGATCTGTCTTCACAATATGATGACTCTCTCCTTTTAAAAATAAGATYACTTTTTAAAATACACTTATTTTATGAGGAAATCCATCCAAGGGGGACAAATACTTGAGATGAAGAGCAGAGATGACTGGAAGGGAACGTGATCTCAGGAAGTTCCCAGCCTCCCRACCTCCAGCCAGCAGGGACCCACCTGGGCTGCCCCGTCCTACCCAGGGACAAAGAGCACCATCCTTAAACATCCTAGTTGGTGAGCATAGCCTGCTAGACAAAGGAGAAGGAAGAYCGAGAAGGAAGGAAGAAAGGAAGGAAAGAAGGAGGGAAGGAATGAAGGAAGAAAGGATAAATATACCAGGGATAAATGGTACACTTCTGGGGGGAAAAAATCTCAGAATCACCCAACTGTGGCTGGATGATGCAAATTAACTTGTCTTTAAATATAACCCTGGAGAACATGCAAGGGAAGTGAATGGCTTGTCTTTGTCCCAGTGACTGGAACTGCAGCACCACCCACCAGGTGGTGAGTGTCATGAATGTCTCAGCTGGTGGMCCCAGGTGGTGCCCTTGACTCCTGTCTTCTCCCGTATCCTCCTCCTCCTGCCAGTCATCAAGCCCCGTCAACATGACATGCTAAGTGCTTCTCAGACCTAGTCACTTCCCCATTGGTCCTCCCTTGGCTTGCTCCTGCCGTAGTTTGGTCCTTAACTGGTTTTGGCTTGGAATATGGCTACAGCCTCCTAGCTGGGCCCCCTGTCTCCAGCCCCTTGCACCTCTAATCTGTCCTATACTGTTGTGGGTCTGATCACACATCTTCCTGTTGGTGGCTCACCTCCTGTAATCATCCAATTCCTGTGTCTGCCACACAAACCCTCCCCACTAAGCATTTGATCAAGATCTACTATTTTAATAACCTGTGTTATTACCTGGCCTTTGCCTGCCTCTCATGTCTTGCCAAAGCCCATCTTGCTCTTCCTGTTCTAAGTACCATCCTCAAGGGTCTCCCTCATTTCACACCTTCAAGCCTCTGTCTCTGCAGAACCTGACATCTGGAGCATCCTTACCCACCACCAGATGGAGATTTCACAACATCATTATCTGTAAAGACTTGCTTGCAGCCAGGTGCAGTGATTCACAGCTGCCTTACCTGTAATCCCAACAACCCAGGATGGGGAGTGGTACTGAGACAGGAGGATCACTAGTTCAAAGCCAGCCTCAGCAACGGCGAGGTGCAAAGAACTTAGTGAAACCCTGTCTCTGAATAAAATACAAAATAGGGCTGGGGATGTGGCTTAGTGGCCGAGTGCCCC